CGTGGGTCACGACCCCTTCGGGGGTGAACGACCCTTTCACAGGGGTCGCCCGATTCATAACAGTAGCAAAATTACACTTATGAAGTAGCAACGAAAATAATTTTATGGTTGGGGGGGTCACCACAACATGAGGAACTGTATGAAAGGGTGGAGGCATTAGGAAGGTTGAGGACCACTGCAATAGATAATGGCTTGGTCACTGTATAGTTTACTGTCATGTGAATGATGGAAAAGTAATAACACCGGGACACAAGTGCCGTTCTGAGGTGTGTGCACGGAGCTCTAAGGGATGACAGGAACAGCCCAGGACTGTACCGAGAGGCCACGGGGTGGGCTGAGAGGGGTCAGACCAGGCTGCAGGGCAGAAAAGATGAGAGAATGTGAGCAGATAGGGTGGTTGGATACAATGCAGGCTGCTCAGGGAAATTTGAATTTCAGATAAAATAATACCAGCCTGACAAATAATTTCTAGTGGAAGTATGTTCCACAAAGCTTTGAGGACATACTTATACTAAAACAAAAACAAAAGAAAACAAACAAACAAACAAACCCTATGATTTTGCTAACATTCATATTTAACTGGGTGTCCTGGGTTTTTATCTGGTAACCTGGGAGGCCAGGTGTAGGCATTTTCCAGGTGTGCAAAAGATGGCTGAGGGTGTGACAGAGAAAATTGCGTTTGCGAAAGATGAGAAACAGGAAGCTGTTGACATGGGCCTAGTGCAAGTATTTCTGAGAGGCTAGAGACTGGGCAGGGAGGGGCAGGGAGGAGAGGCTTTTAAGGACAAGATCTTAATGTACTTCTGAAGAGTCCTGTCTTTTTCCTGTAAGTAATCAACAAAGGGAGAGCTTTAGTCCGAGAAATAGCAAATGGGGGCAGGCGGGAAGTTTGTTTTATAAGTCTTGTTAAAAATACTCATTTTAATTTTTGGTTCCCCTGGGTCCTTTCTGGAAGCAGCTGGCAAGTACTGCTGTTAGGAGTTCAGACTCACAACCATCCAATGAACGGAAGAAGGAAACCCCGCCTGGTCCTGCACCACTCTCACCAATGCTCTGATGTCTGAGTCCATTGAGCTGCCACTGTGTCAATCCATCTCGTCGAATATCTTCTTTCTGCTTTGCTGCTCCTTCACTTTACCAAGCACGATGTTCTTCTCCAGGACTGGTCTCTCCTGACAATATGTCCAATGGACTTGAGGTGAAGTCTCCCCATCCTTGCCTCTAAGGAGCATTCTGGCTGTACTTTTTGCAAGACAGATCTGTTTGTACTTTTGGGAGTCTGTGATACTTTCCAATATTTTGCACTAGCTCCATAATTCAAATGCACCGACTTTTCTTTGGTCTTCCTTATTCAAAGTCCACCTTTCACATGCATATGAGGCGATTGAAAATATCATGACTCGGGGCAGGCACGCCATACTCCTCAAAGTAGCATTCTGGCTTTTTGACGATTTAAAGAAGTCTTGTAAGGCAAATTTACCTAAGGCAACTTGTCTTTGATCTTGATTCCTGCACTTTGGATCCAAGCAGGATGAATCCTTGCCCGCTTCGATCTTTTCTCCATTTGTCATGATGCCACTTATGTCTTTTTTACTCTGCGTCAATCCGTACTGCAGGCTGCAGCCCTTCATCGTCATCAGCAAGTGCTCCAACTCCTCCTCACTTTCAGCAAGCAAGCTTGTGTTTTTTGCATGTTGCAGGTTAATAAGCCTTCCTCCAATCAGGAAGTCAAATTCTTCTTCATCTAACCCAGGGTCTATGAATAAGTCCTGGTAAAAGGATAGAAGCCTGAAGCACACCTTTCTCTATTCTAAACCATGCGGTATTCCCCTGCTCTGGTCACACAAATGCCTCTAGAGCAGTGGTTCTCAACTTTCCTGATGCCGAGACCCTTTACTACAGTTGCTCATGTGGTGGTGACCCCCCAACCATAACATTATTTTCGTTGCTACTTCATAACTGTAATTTTGCTACTGTTATGAATCATAATGTAAATGTCTGATATGCAGGATGTATTTTCATTGTTACAAATTGAAACAAAACAATATGTAACTACATATTGTGAAATATTTATTTCTAGTGACAAATAAATGAAACTTTGTCTTGAAGCATGGTGTAGCATGGGTAACAGTCTTCACACCCGGTACTCATATGTGGGCTTATCTGCACGTGGGAGAACCCACCTGGAGATGGATACAGGAGCAGTGTCTCAGTTCCTAAGACTATTGGAAATACGTGTTTTCCGATGTTCTTAGGCGACCCCTGTGAAAAGGTCGTTGGACCCCCAAAGGGGTCACCCCCCACAGGTTGAGCACCGCTGCTCTAGATCTATGCACGGGTTCCTCAAGAGCACAATGAAGTGTTTTGGAATTCCCATTCTTCTCAGGGCCAGTCGTAGTTTATGAACCGCACCACCGACTGCCTTTGCATAATCAACGAAACACAAACAGACATCTTTCTCATCTTCTGTGCTTCCAACCATGATCCATCTGAGACCAGCAATGCTATCCCTTGTTTCATGTCCTCTTTGAAATCCAGAGTGAACCTCTTGAAGCTCTCTGTCAATGTACTGCTGCTAGCATTGCTGGAGACTGTCGCCAGAGTCTTACTTGCATGTGATGGTATCAATGATATCAGTCAATAATTTAAGCATCTGTCGGGTCATCTGTCTTTGGAATGGGTACAAATACAGATCTCTTCCAGTCACTTGGCCAACTAGTTGTCTCCAAATTTCCTGGCATAGACAAGTGAGTGCTTCCAGTGCCTCATTGATGTTGAAACTTTTCAGTGGGCGGTCCATTGGTTCCTGGAGCCTTTGGTCAATGCTTTCAGTGAAGCTTGGACTTCTCAGTACCATTGGTTCTGACTCATATGCTACCTCTTGAAATGGTTCTTTTGCATAGACAGTCTACAATTTATAGACTATAGAGAAAACAATGTCTTCATAAATGATTAAAAATTGTCCAATCCAGTTTGGGACAAAAGTCTCATTCGGAGATTGAGCAGGCCGGTGTGTCCAGGTGGTTCCTGTCCAGAGCTGGTTGGATTAGTGTGGACACTAAAGCTAGAGTGGTCCAGAGGGTAAACATTGCTGGGAAACCCAGTGTGCTTTCAGGAAGAGACGTTGAGCGTTGAAGTAACTGATTGGGCTGGGACCTCTAGACAGCAGATTGGGACAGTTCTTCAAAGAGGCAGGGAGATCCCGAACCACTGAAAAGCAACACCAGGGGTGGGTGGATTATTTGCACTTCAACAGAGGATGAGGAGGAGGCTTAGTGACGTTGTGCATCCAATACCACATTATACGTTCAGACTTTATTTAAAGCTTGATTACGTACTTCACACCTTACTCTTTATTCTAGGTTATGCAGAGAGGTGGATGTCATAAGATTTTTACAACTGCCACCTTTCAGAAGATCACCAGGCCTTTCTTCTGAGGGTCCTCTGAGTAGGTTTGAACTTCTAACCCTGTGGTTAGTAGGTGAGTGCCTAACCACTTATGGCACGCAGGAACTCCCACAGTGTGTTAGATACTGAGAATGGACATCCTGTACTTTGTGATCTAGCTGGCAGGCTTTAATAGCTCCACTCTAAGGCTAGAAACCCTGAAGGTCAGAGAGAATTTCCCGTGAGTCACTCAGCCTCTGAGAAGCAGGACGGAGACTATACCGGCTGTATGCTGACTCTGGGTTAGAACCCTTTCCTCCACATTTCACCAGACCCCACACCATCCAGCCGCAGACAGGGGTCCTCTCCTGCCCTTCCCTGGCTGATGAGAGTGAGGATTCGGAGCATATTTTTGCAAAGGGTCCTAACCATTCTTGACAAAAAGAAAATCACAACAGAGCAGGAACAACAGTCTAGGAATGCTCCCTCCACCCCCACCCCACCCCACCCCTAGTTCCCTAGGTGAGGGCAGGGGTGGGCTCTGTGTGTGGGAAGAGGCCACCAGGTAGGCAGGCACCTGGGAGGCCTCTCAGTGACTGTCTGCTTGGCCTGACAGTCAGCTTCGGGCAATGGAGAGACTGAAGAATGCTGGTGTAATGAAGCAACAGGGAATGCACTTCCAATGTTCATGTATGGGCATCTGGCAGTGTGGGAAAACCGGGACTCGTCTGAAGCAAGAAGCCCAAGTCTAACCTTGTACTTAGCCCTTGTGCATTTAAACCATTCAAGAAGGAGAAAGATGCATCTCTGTCGGGCAGCTTTCCTAATCAGAAGTCCTGGTTTCTGGGAGCTCTAGCGTGTCAGTATGGCTAAAGAACCCTGACCTAGAACTTTCTCTCTAGTGTGTGCGCCTGCACACACACACACACACACACACACACACACACACACACAATGTACCCCAAATTCAAACCAAACCCACTGCCCTGGAGTCGAGTTCAGCTCATAGCAACCTTATTGGCCAGCGCAGGACTGCCCTTGGGTTTCTGAGACTTTGAATCTCTATAGGAGTAGAGAGAGGCCTTTCCCCCAGGAAGGACTGGTGGCTTCAAACCACTGATCTTGTGGTTAGCAGTTCAGCACAAAACCTGTGATGCCACCAGGGCTCCTCCACCCTAGACTTAGAAGTATGCAATCCTGACCATGTGAGAAAAGGACACACACACACACACACACACACACACACACACACACAGAGTCTGCAACGGAAATCCGAAGGTTTCAGGCTGTTTTGCCCACTCCTGTGATAGGCAGGGGGGGGCAGATCCCAGGTGTGAGTTAAATTCTTCTGGTGCAATCTGGGGTTCAGTAGAGCAGCAGCCTCTTGAGAGAGAGACAGGGTGGCAGAGTCCTTTCCTTTCTGTCTGGACCTTGGGAGGAGCCAGTAAAGTCCTGGGATTAGGATTCTGGAGTCTTAGGGACCCGGACATCCCCTCTCAGTCTTTGAGTCAATAGTGTCCCTACCATGGCCTAGGGGCCTCTCTCTAAAACAGTAGGACCACTTGGGGGTGGGATGGGGAATTGGGAGCGATCTATGTCAATGAGGTAAAACCGGATATCGGCTGGACCCTCCCATGAACAGACTCATGAGGTGTGAGAGGCTAGTGCCCCGGGACTGGTGAAGGCGTTGAGGCTCTGGTGGTCCTCCCACCATTTGGGGAAACTGTACAAACATGAGTGAGGGGCCAGCCAAGCCTGGACTCAGAGGTGAAAGGATGTTATCTGCAAACACAACCCTTTCCAGTGTGTGAGTAAACACGCACATTTGGCTTGGGAGTGAGGGCCTGGCCTGAAGAGAGAAAACGGCCCCCTCCAAGCAAGCAGGACAGCATTTTTCTCTAAATGCCCCTCGAATTGAGACACAGTTGCTGGGTCTCCTGTGGTCTATTCTCTGTGAGGAATGTCTTCCCAGCTTCTCGGACTGAGCATTACCAATTGCTCCAGGATTAACCCCTTGATAGCCGAAGTTTTACCCAAAGACACTCTATCACTTCCTCCCCATTCCACCGCCTGTCACTTTGGGACACCTTTCAGAGGCCCAGCCAGGACTAAAAAGCTGATCGCTTGCACACGCTTCCTGTGTGTGCAGCGAAACCAGTCTCCTTATAGGCGTGATGTCTTTAAGAAAATAGCCTCGCTTCTTTACAAACTGGAGTCGTTTTACTTGGAACCTGTCCATCAAGAATTCAGGTCTGCAGAGTCCAAAGCAAGCTTCCCCGGAACTTTGCAAACAGGCCGGGCCCGGCAAGGCAGAGCCTCCTACGGTGTCTGCCAGGAGCGCACGGCTCGGTGGTCCGTTTGCCACATGGGCTGGGACAACACTGCTCAGAGACGGCGTTTTCAGCAGGAACTCCAGCAATGTGGCCACCCTGCACATTTCATGAACTGCCTGCTGCCCTCCTCGCCTGCCTCTGGGATGGTGTCATGGTCACACTCCCGGTCTCTCCGGAGCTTGACCTTCTCTCTCTCTCTCTGTCGAGAAATGTTTGCAACACACAAAGAATTTTCAGAATTCCCGGGTGTAGGGTGGAAGGGCAGCCTCTCCTCCTGGGGTGGGGTGGTGTAAAAGGGATAGCCAAAGCTATGTCTCTGCTAATTTCTCCCTCTTGGCTTAATGGGGACCCTCGGTTTGGGGCTGAGCTTCCCGGACCTGGTCTGAATGCAGCATGTGTGCTCCAGTGATGGACTTGATATTTACACAAGCCACGCTGATAAGTGCACATGTGTTTTTAATATTTTGGCTTTCTACACCACAAACATGTCCATGTGTATATGCGTGCACACACAGTCGGGCTGGGACTTTGAATAATGAGGTGGGGTTTTATTTATTTATTTGAACTGTTCTCTCCAAGCTGACACCTTTGTGAGCAATATTTCCCGCCACACTGAGCAAGGTTCATCGGGGCCCTTTGGGAGGGTCGCCTTCCGGTTGTCCCACCTGGAAAGGTGCATGCTTCCAAAAGAGCAAACCAACCCCCCCCCACCGCCCCCCAATCTTTCCTCCTTTCTTTGCGAGGCTTGGAGGCTTGAGTAGTGATTGAAAAGCAGACCTCCCCTCGAGCCAGCTTCCTGGAGCGCTTTTACTCAGGAACCGGCCTGTCTTTGTACCTCAGCCACAGAGGTGAGCTGCTAGTTGGCTGGGCTGCTGCTGCTGCAAATTTAGGAGGGAAAAGTGTTAAAGAAAAAAAAAAAATAAAAGGTCTTAATTATCTTGTGGTTTTGCAAGTGCTGTTAATAAGATTCCTTGCTTTTCTGCAAGCTGACTCAAGTTAATTACAGCATTAAACATCTTTTTTACCTACTCCTCACTGTGATCCACCCCCCCC